CCGAAGAAAGCGCCACGGAACATGCGCATGCGCAGGCGCGGTAGGCGCCAGCATGCGCAACGAACAGACACGAAGCACGATCGCCTCTGGGAAGCCCAACAGCCAGCACTGAGACCAACGCGATGGCCAAGTGGAACAAGAGAAGGGACCAGGCCTCAGGCCCCACCGAGAGTGCACAAAGCGAAAGAAAGCGACGAAGTCACCGAGGTGAAAACAGTCTCCGTCACCTCCTCCTTCCATGTCTATTTCGGTCGAAAACAACACCAATCACCGTCCCCGCCTTGCGAGGAAACGAATACAGATCAAAATGTGCAATCATGTTGCACAAATTCAAAAAGAAGTTCTAACATGGTCATGGAATTGCGTGTACCAGGGGGTCACTATGGAATATCATTCTTTCCACTAAACCACAACTAGTGTGAGTGTGCTTTTGTGTCTTTTCAAGATGTTCAGCTGAAACAGGGAGAAGCGGGGAGAAACGCCCTCCAGGGCGATCTGTCTGAGCCTCATTTCAACGCCATCGCAGTGGTCCGACAGCTTGCGCTTGGGGAGATGGACAGTTGCAGCTGAGATTCAGCTGTGATAGAGGTGTCTTCATGTCATGTATCTTCTATCAAACACCTTTTGAACCCTATCAACTGTGGTTGATGTCATCAGCTAATTATGATTCACATGTTGTAAAAATTCAGTTTGTGCTTTCTTCTGCTTTTCCAAGTGTGAAGCTCCTAGGTCTTGGCGTTGACCTAGGTCATCTCTCCTGGTTCCTTTTTTCTGTCATTCCCCCTCTTTCGGTCACCTTTCGGTCACCCTGTTTGGTGTAAAGCACCCTTCACCCGGCCGGTTCGCCGCTTCGCCGGCTTCTCGGCGCCACCTTCTGTCGTCCGTGGGCGACCCCGGCGCAGATGGGATGTTCGAAGTGGGGCCAGAAGGCCAAGGCCTCGGGACGTCCGCCGCGTCGTTGTGGACCGAACCGTCTGGCATGGGCAGAACACACCGACCGGCGGCTGGATCAGATCGGAAGGACCGCTGTAGAGATCGGACGAAACTCCTCCGTAGCACCGGAGTCGAACCGCCGTCGTCCGAGGACGAACGGCCCGTGTCATTGGCTGTCGGGCCATTCTTTTGCAACAAGCACAAGGTAGCACAAAGCAACAAGCAGCATCTCTTGGGCCCACAAACATAGCACAGTCAATATAGCATGGGAATAGAAGGTCTGTTCTTCAACATCTCCTGTGCTGGCGCAGAGGCAAGATTAGAGGGCTGCGCTACCAAACGTCTAGAAAGATTTGACCCTCCTGTCGGGGTGTCCTGGCTGGACTACCCCACACTAGGCTTCCAGACAGGGCACCCCGACTGGAGGGTCCGGGAAGATTTGACCAACTCTCATTAATTCCCACAGCTCACCCCGAAAAAACCACCAAGTACTTACCGGTGCGTCCCCCCTGTGCCCCTGCCGTTGTTCCAGCTGTAGGACACACAAACCTACGGTGGGCACACTTGTTGGTTGAAGCTGGTGTGGTTTTCTCCTGCAGGAGCTGACCCAAACTAGCAAATCATGAACAAACAACAGCAACAAATGCCTTCTGTGTTTCACTACATTGTTGATTAGGAAAAGCTGATGTGTTCAACAACACCACCAGACGAGTGGTGGAATGACCTGCGGGGTCGACGAAATCATCTTCGTCTTCCGTTTCGACCAAGGTGCCCAGAAGACCAGACCAAAGGCTGCCCAGGGCCTTGGTGACGAGACGAGTTGAGTTGGTCAGAAGTAGGTCAGACCCCGCTGGCACCTGGGGTCTGCAACCTGGCGGTCCTGGCAAGGGCCTGTGAGCGTGAGGAGGATTCGGAGGATCATTTGCGAGGGTTTGACCCAAAGGAATGTCAAACCCAAACCCTTGAGGTTCACTGCCAGCTTCGTGTTCTTCTTTTTGGCAAGATCGATGTATGTGATGCCCGAACGCTCGCAACACGAAGGAACATAGCACCCGGGCAAGGCCAGGTTGCTGAAGACCACCACAAGGTTCAGACTTCGCCGCCTTGGGGCCAGCGTTAAAAAAATAGAGGTTCAATGAAGATCCATGTAGTCTACAGTAGGGATTCCTGTGAGTCCACGAGTGTAGCTGTATGTTGGAACCATCAATTTCTGGGAGGGGCGATTCGTGTTGAGAACAAACTCCTCTACATGTACGGCACGTCAACCTTCCATTGTTTGTAGGGTGAAGTATTGACCCACACCCATATCACGCAAATCCTTACCAATGGGGGGATTAGCCTTCTGAGTTCTTTGCAGCCAAATTTGTTTGTGCATGTGTACATAGTGCAAAGCAATCCGGCATTAGATGCAATGGGCCGTTGGACTTCACCAGCAAGAAAGTATTCAACAATATCCCAACAACTTGGTAGACATATACAGCAAAAAACGAAACGATCTTGTTCAAGTAGTTGTGTTCAATCTCCTGGTCATCTCCGGTGGATAGAATGAAATTCATGCGTCGCACGTCCGGTGTACGAGATACGAGAAACACCACGCCTGTCGCAGGTGTACGACGCGAGATCTCATGTGCGCACTTTGACATCGGCCTTCAAGTAGTGGTGAGAGCAAAGAGCAAGTACAAGCAGTGGCAATACATCAAAGACTATTTTTGTCACCACCAAAGTAAAGGAATGTCCTTTTCGGATCACCTAAACAAAGTCTTAGAAGATGAAGATGGTCGACGGGACCCCCAGGGAAATATATTCTTATACCACTGTGCCCTTCTACCGAGCTCTGGACTGTGTGAAGGCACCCTCCAACTGGGAAGCCTCCAGTCTCTTCGCGCGGAGACGACCCAGCGGGTGGTTCTGTAAGAAAGAGATGCAAAACTATGAGATCGGCAAAAGCAATTGTGTGCGGCTGCCAGCAATTGTCTCCTCAATGGAACGTCTCTGCATAGTTCTGCATAGTTCAAAGGGATGAGGAGCCGATCTCTTTAGGGCGACATGTCAAACCATGTCAATCACAGAAGAAAGGAAGAAACTCATGTGGTTAGTCATGGCAAACAAGCTCTAGGGGTCTCCAAACTGCACGGCTAGGGCATCCTGCAAATGACAAGCTTAAAGCTTGGCTATCACAAGGATGCTCAAATGGATGAATCTCTCATCCGGTGTGATCTAGAAATTCCCCTTGGATGGCATATACAATTGCAGGATACTCTATAAAGCTTGTCCTATCATTTGTTCGTTGGTATCTTTTCATTTTGTTTAAAGCTTGACAAATGCAAGGTAGTACCACAAGTTCCAACAACAAACATCTTTCAGTCGACTCCTCTGTTCAGTCGACTCTTCGTTCGCCACTCCAAGTCAATGCGGATCTCTAGGTTTGTGTTGTACCGTCCTACCGTCTGTTGTTTTACGAAACTTGGCAGCTGGTATCGAAGGGTACTCGAATGTGTGTGCAGCAAAGGTGACTCTATCCTTCCACAACCGGACATGCTCAAACTCTGCAACAACAATAGCAAGGCAGCAAGTTGCAGCAAAACTTATACTTTTAGAGGCACATGCCTGTAGTCACAGCTGCCAAAACATTCATACCATGTTGTTTTCTGCAAATCTTCCTGCTTTTCCTGGTTTCGCCCCAGCACACTAGCACACCATGTCTCGCGAGACTTGGGAGCACCTTGACGGCTGCACTGCCATAGGGATGAGGCCTCAGTTCGGGCTGAATGGTGGCACTGCAGGCAAGCAATGGGCCAGGAGCCGTTCGTAGCGTCCTTGCTCCTAGTAGTAAGGCCAGGAGCCCCGATCGTAGCTTCTTGTTCCCTGTTTACTTGCTAAGGTGCTTTGGTTGGCTAGCTAGTTGCTTGGCGGGTCCCGAGCTCCGTTGGCCGAGCACCTACAAGAACCTCGAGCGATCGTTCGCTCGAGCCAGGGCCCCTCGAGCCAGGGCAAACACATTCCACAAGGTCTCTATGATCACCAAGAGAGAGAGCACAAAGGGGACACCAAGAGGAACAGGAAACCAAACTCAAAAACGCCAGATCGACTTTGACCACTGCGATGGTCACATGTTCACCGTTCATGCTACATGGCACTGGGAGCCGACCTCCCAGGCGTCCGACGGGCGGGGCGAGTGCGGTGCCCACAGGTGCCCGGGCGGCAGCATGCTACGTTGACCCGGTCGCCGGGGGAAGCGTTCCCCCGGGCACACCGGCGCTTGGAGCCGATGGCATCGGTATGGATTGATCGGTTCAATCGGTATCACTCGGTTTTGGCCGGATTAAGACTTGAATAGACCTGGACCCGACTGACCCAGTAACACCACGACCAATAAGGACTGGGAGGAGGAGTAAGGAGTGAGGCGGAGGCAAAGAAAACCATCCTTCGATCCAATCGAATCTAAAGAGCGCGTGATAGACCAGGCACGGCTTCCGTGAGGACGCACACCGGTGAAATGGGTATGACACCTGTGAGCGTGTGAACACGCTAAGACAACGTGAAGAACACCATGGGGATGGTAGTGCCGGTGATTATATACGTATACTACGTATATTATCCCTGATAGTGATACTGTACAATACTTGATACAGTATATTATTGTATATTGTTGTCTTCTCTTCCTCTTCTTCTTCTTTCTCTTCAAATGACTTCTGCTCTTAGCTTATAGACTTACGTAGACTTTGGGGGGGCATCCTTAGGACACTTAATGATCACGGGGCACCGCTGTCACCACTCACCATCTTTTCTCGCAAGGCAGTGCCCCGGAACCGCCCAGACCGCGTTCCGGCCGTTGACCGACCGAGGAGAGGCTCGCCTTTGGCGAGATCCCGTCGGAAGTGGCAGACGTTTGGAGCTGAGCTGTTTTGGTTTGTTGTGAGTTCCAGCGATGTAGACAATAAGGTCGCATAATATGCCTCTGAGATTGTTTGGTTAGAATAGAGCAAGAGTGCAAGAGGGTGTATCAATGTGTATCATACATTCTTTTCTGATGTTGCATTGAACACATTTCCTGCAAGCTCTACACTGTGCGATACCATCCACGTTACCAAAAATATGTCAAGGAGTGAAGATTCAAATCGAACTCACCCACCCCGTTTTCACCGCCATCTCTGTGGCACATGGCATATCTGCACCACGCGCGGCAGTGGCACACACCACCAAGTGCTGCATGCGCCGTAGGGGTGTGTGACTCGGTTAGACTCTCATGGTCTCCGCGCGCTTCGGTGGTGAGGCCACACGTTGCGTCACCTGGGCACGTGGACGAGGTACGATTTTTTTGATGGTCCGAAGACCCGGGGTCAACTCCACACATTCAATTCCAGTTCTGACTTTTCCGTGTATTCTCCCAAGTCGTGAAGGGAAAGAAACCATGTCGCGAGCTTTCATCCAAACCATCCAACAAGCCATCGGACCTCCTGGTCGGACGTCCGACATGACCGACATGCGCATTATTTGGGGGCTTTGCGTTCACTGAAGCGGAAGGGAAAAAAAACATCAAGACATCGAGGCAGCGGCCACAAACAGCCTGCACTGCCTGGCATTATTTGGGTGAGATGCATCATCTCACCTTTTTAGGAAGACTTCTGTCCTTGGGGGTCTGTCTCATTCCATGAAACCAACTCACCCGACGCCCAAGCGTTGTCCATGTCTTTGCCTCTAAGAGTATCGTCACCAACTCCCAGCAACTCCCAGCGACTGGCCACTCAACTCTCAGCACCTGCTTCTTCTTCTTGCGGAAGCCTATCGCAGCCAACTCGCCTCGTGTGAAGCCGCAGGTCGCTGCTGGTTTTCTGCGACCAACTACCACCAGTCTCTTCGCGACACAACGAAGCGAAGGGACCCGGAACACCTGAGGACCATCCTTTTGAGATGTGTTGGCTGGACTAGCCTACAATATCCCAAACAGGATGGTCCAGCTTTGTTTCTGTGGGTGAAAGAATGTGCGTGCGCCGGATATGTCCTTAGTTCTTGCGGTCTTCGTCCAAAATGGTTGATTCTTGGCAATGGATGAAATTGGACCCTCACAGCTAGGCTCATTGGACTCTCACAGCTCGGGTTTTGACCCTCACAACTAGGGTCTTGGACCGAACCAACATCTAGATTCGTTGCTTCGGGTCCATGCGCCTCTTGGCTTTCGAATGATCTCACAACGTCTGGATATCTAAGGCAAGTTCTCTGAAAACCATTGCGCCAAAATATCCCCTTCTGGCTACGACCTTCAATGCCGCCAGCACATGGAACCACGACTCCCATGGGTTCTCCACTGTCCAGTGTCACTCGATTGAACCAGTGCTCTTGGTTGCCTTCGTCCGCAAATTCAAGTGCATGAGAAGTGTCTTCCACTTGGATCTTGACATAGAAAGCTGCAAAAGTATGCATGTATTTCGCATGTATTATGCATGTGTAGTATTTTACGCATCCTCCCAGGCGTGTCACATCCTAACACCCAACAAGCAACAGGCCCGACAAGCGAATGTCTGAAAGCTCACAACATCGGACGTTCTGCTCGTTGGTTTTAGGGCGGACAACCAAACCTGATCTCATCTTCAGCTGACTCCCTGCCTAGGGGGTAGGGCTAGGTGAAAGGAAGCCCTATCAGACTTCTGTGTGAGCTAACACCGAAAAAAAAAAAAAAACAATAAAAACCAACCAACACACGTTCTGTTCGAAGCGTGGAGGTCGTGTAGGCGTGTTGTCGGGCCATCCAGCCAGGCGGCTTTTTTGCCGTTCCGCCTCCGGTCGCTCATCGGTGGACCCGGAGCGAGGACTCCGTTGGGCCCTCCGTTGGCTGGGTCTACAAGAGATACAAAACCACAGAAAGGTCTAAAGAAAGGCGAAACGAAAGAAGGTCCAATTCAAAGAAGAAAGGTCTAAGTCTAAACAACCAATGATGTCACAAAAAACGGTGTTTTTGGGACGCATATAGTTCTCCGCAAAAAACCGCCGAGAACGTGCAGCCCCGTTCGTCACGCTCCCAAACCACGACCACATCACGTTTCGAGCCTTTGAATAGTCCCAAAAGACCGGGTCCGAACGACGGTTCCCAATGGAACTCGTGAGTCGGAGATCGTGTCGTTGGCCGTGTGGCGGAGTCGCTGCTTTTTTCATTTTGTGGCACGACCGTCGTGGTGTTTGGTGTTCTGGTTGTGCAACTTCCACCATCCAGTTATAGATGTGACTTAAGGATGTGTCCACTGAATTTGCAAGTTGAAAAGCTGTGCTGCCATCTATTCTGCAGGCTGGCCAAGTGATGTCAACCCAGAGATTGAAAGCAAAAACCCTTTGTCCCCATCCAGCCTCCTCCTGCTCTTGCCTTCTCTTTTGCTCTTCCTCCTCGCGAGTAAGGTCCGTTCAGAAAACTTGGAGATCCCATGATGGTCCAATAGTGGTTCATGACAGGTCCCAATGCCACTATGAGGCCCACAAAGAAACAGGACAACACATAAGACAGGCCCTCCAACCTTCTCCCCCCCCAGCTTGTCCACCCTGGGCAGGCTTTATCCCACCCATTGTGTGAGCAATCAAGCAAATCAACATTCAAACAGATCGGTCAACCTTTCAGCACCCTGTGATTGGTCGTCACCGGACAAACACACCAAGGCATTCATGGAAGTGGACGACCACCTCGCAAAAAACAAACTCCGCCTTAAATGCTCCTTAAATGAGTCAGAGCAGATATTTACCTAGAACTCCGGTACCGGGCCTGTTCCTTCGAGTGGCATGACTACATGGCAACTGTGTGTTGGCTGTCTTGCGCCTCAGCTAATATAATAGGCTTTGATCAATGCGGGTGTGGTGGGAACTATCAATGAATTCCCTGCGTTTTAGAACATGTTAGATGTCTTATCTGGGATACCCCATCCCTATTCCATCCAACATCAGCCAACAAAAGAAGGCCTCCAAGTGAGCAGGGTGCAGAAAGCCACTGCAAATCACTGTCACGAACGACTGAAAGGTGCTGGTGTCACCTGATTACCTTTTCAGGAACCAGCTGTTTTATACAGGCTGCTCAGTAGGCCCTAAAATATCTAAAATGCTTCTTGCCAGATGCTTGGCCGCCCAGCGTCCCCGTTGTCTCGCGAGACACAACGCGCGCGCACCACCGCAAGACTCGCGCAGGTTCGGAGCCGCCTGCTTCCGCCGTTGCTTTTCGCCCGGCGTTCGGTTGTAGGACTCCTGGCGGCGAGAAGACCAGCGGAGAGCGGTAGATGTGAGCTCGCTGTCCGGAAGGAACACCGACCTTTCTTTTCGGACATTCACCCCGGAAAATTGAGGATATGAGTGGACACATTGAGCAAAATGATGTTGCCCGGAAATGCTCTTCGATGGGTTTGGTTTTCGCCACTCATTGCGTCTTGGCGAGTGTCTCCAGTTCTTGCTGATTGAGACTTAAAGAAAAGCAACCATCACATGCTTTGATGCGAGTGGCTCCAATCGGTGGGAACCCCTAAGTGATTGGCAACCCTCCTTTGCATTGTTTTTCAACCACAAGTGAACGCACACTTTTTCAGATTAATTCCGAAATTCTGCTCATAGCCCCGAAAGATGTAAAAGGGGACAGCCATGAACCACCCTGACCGCGGGTCCTGATATGGTGTGATACATGTGGCTAGGCATGACCCCAGAGCGTGGATGTTTTTCAGGCTCATAGATCCCAGACCATTCTGGAATACAATTGCTTATACTTAGATTCCATGTATGGGGTTATAATGGTAAACTACTTGGGGTGTCCACCTATGTCATTGTCTCCATGTAACATCCTGCAAATCTTCCGAACGGGGCCGTTGAACTCAGCGAAGGCCCGCCCCGATCGTCCATGCAGGGGCACCAAGACAACAATTGATAATAACAAGAAATTGTCTGTAGAGGGGGCATCCGATGCTTCTATTGGCCAATTCTGGCGTTCGCCACTAAGTCAGAGTTGGGAGAAAAACACACATAGAAATTCGCGGTTGATCTCTACATCTGTTGGTCACCCACGCCGGGCTAATCTCATCGCCCCTCCTCCGCTCTGCCGTTAGCTGTTGATGTTCAGCTGTTGATATTTGCACCTGAAGATCAACAGCTGAACATGGTGATAATTAATCCCGACAGCCTGAACATGTGAGATAGTTGCGACCTGTTGACATGTTCATCCATGTCATCATCTGTCCATCATATGTTGGCTCTCTATCTGATCTGTTCTGCACCTCTGATTTCTGCATGTGACAGATCAGGCCGCCCGAACCCGCTCCGCCGGTTCATCCGCGTCGCCTCCATGAGTCGACGGAGGCTTTTCACATCGATGCCCTTCTCGTACTGTCGACCTGGGGAGGAGACGAGAAAGGGCATGCCGGGGAAAGCAGGTCAGGTCGAGAAGTGGTGAGGCGAACAGGAAAGATATACAGAAACATGTCCTATAAATTGACGGGACAAAAGAGGTGAACCATGTTTAAATAGAAAACGCGGGTCTTTCATGATGGTCTTTGAAACATCCATCGGATGCCTGGATGAACGCTGGTTGAATGGTTCAATCCTCGCATATCCTCACAATCTCAAGTTCGGGATTTGGGGCGACGAAGAGAGATTCATTGGAGAGTGGGGGTTGGAGGGCTGGTCTGAAGATGATTTTGCAACAATTCGCATTTCTATTGATGTTCTATGGGAATTATACAATGAGTTCTGTGCCTGTGAAGAAGCTCTCATTCCGATCCAGCTGGGCTTCAGAAATCCGATGCGAGTCACAGCAAGCCCTGCAGGGCCTCCGGCCAAGGAAACACCAATCCTCTACCCCACCGAACTTGGTTATATAAAACTATCTATTGTAAATCGTACATATATATATATATATACATACTAATTTTAAAAAAAAGGTCAAGGTTTTATTGTTTGTTGTAAAGATTCCTATATTGTTCTCTCTCTCTCTATATATATATATATATCAACTGCACTGATGAGAGATGGTATCAGGTCCCGATACCAAATGGACTTTGCCACCTGTAGGGGGGCAGCCTGCGACGGCGGCCGCCTCCACCCTGCGGCCAAGTGGACTGAGGCCGTAATAGGTGAAGAGTTGCCTCAAGGCGAGGCTAGTGCGGTCGGACCAACCTAGTAGAGATGGCCTCCAACTTAGTGGAGATGGCCTCCAACCTAGTGGAGATGGCCTCCAACCTAGTAGCTGGCCTCCAACCTAGTAGCTGGCCTCCAACCTAGTAGAGATGGCCTCCAACCCAGTAGCCGGCCTCCAACCGGCCTCCAACCTAGTAGCTGGCCTCCAACCTAGTATAGCTGGCCTCCAACCTAGTAGAGATGGCCTCCAACCTAGTATGGCCTCCAACCTAGTAGCTGGCCTCAACCTAGTAGCTGGCCTCCAACCTAGTAGAGATGGCCCCCAACCTAGTAGAGATGGCCTCCAACCTAGTAGAGATGGCCCCCAACCTAGTAGAGATGACTTCCAACTAGTAGAGATGGCCTCCAACCTAGTAGCGATGGCCTCCAACCTAGTAGAGATGGCCTCCAACCTAGTAGAGATGG